TATATATATATATATGCATATGAACCTGAATTGACTTCTGGTGAATCATAAAATATCCGGTGCAATTTGCAAAACAAATTTATTACCTAACATTTTAAATTAGAAGGACTTTTTTTAACATTCAGTATATAAGCTATCCTTAAGCTCTTGTCTTTGAAAAATATTCAGCCATTCATTCGGAATGGTTTTGATAGCTCTGCTTGCCTAATATTTGTAATCAAATATTTCCTAGCTTTTTATATTATAAGCAAATTTATTAAACGTTAAATACCAATTGTGCTATAATAAATGCTATCTTGCACTAAATAACTTAAATTTAAACTTTGTTTCATTGTAAATGGTTCTATGTTTTTTTGATATATAAACAAATAATGGCTTTGGTTTTTCCTGTAGTTTTTATTTTCATAAAACATTAAAATTTAAAAATATATACTTTTTTTTTTTAATTTGATGATTACAAGTTGAAACAAATAACATACCTATAGAAGCGTATTGTAAAAATATCTTTAATTTTAGGAATTCTAAGAGCCAGATCAACTTGACCAAACTAGACCAACATCAACATACTTGTAGCGGATCTTTTCTTAAGAACATCAATTGTTACCTCGAAGTTAGAGGAGCATTCGCACAATTTGAAGGTCTTGGTTTAGATTTAATGTAAGCCATGGGGAAGAGTCGCACCATCACCAAATTATTGTTTTGAAATATGGTTTATCTACATTCGAATATGTTCTCTCAGAGATGTAAATTAGAATTTCAAGATGCATTTAATTATACTCAAACATAATATTACAAAATGCACATTTTTCGATTTATTGGGGTAATATTTTTCACAATTTTTGAATGATTAAAAATATTACGATGAGCAAATATTTTAATCGTTGTCTTGAATTTTAAGTTTAAAGTTGCAAATTAATTTTACTAATTTGTCAAAACGTTAGTGATATGCTATAAATATCTTAGTAAAATTACAGCAATTAAAATATTACTAACAGTTCATTTTTAAATGTTAGTAAATATATTCGCTATGTGCTTTTAAATATTCTAATTTCTAAAGAGACAATTATTTCAAAATATTATAGTGTATTTTGCATTACGAATTATTACTAACTAAACAAACTTTAGTATTAAAGGAAATCTAACAATAATATTAAAATCGTCATTTTCTTTTGAAGCAAAATAAATATATAAGCATTTTAAAATTTTAAAACAAATTCCTTTTACTTGCTGCAATTACAAAAGTTAATTTCATGCATGAGGAAGTCAAGACTGCAATGAACGGAATAGGAATTTATTTTATAGAGTTTTTCCGGAAATGCAATTAATAACGTTAATTTAACTTTCTTTGCATTTAAAAATATTTTACTCTCTCTTTTCTGATACTTTCTGACAATTGTTAAAATTAATGCGCAATTCTTACCAATTCGAGCTTCCTTATGATGCCATTTCGGGTGTTGAAACAGTATTTCTTGACTTGCAAGATATTCGACGTTGGCGATAAATGTGACACTTGAATGAGAATGTAAAATATACAGAAGACTTTAAAGTGGCGCGAAGTAGATTAATGGAAATTAACTCTAGAAATGTGATAGTATTAGTCTCAGAAACTCGGAATTTTGGATGCCATTAACTCTAGACTCAACTATTAGGAGTTTCAATAAAGCTTTAATGGGAATTATAAAATTTTCTCATGGAATGCTTAATGTTTTTAGAATTGTTACGTTTTCTTAAAAATTGCTTGATTTTAAAGTGTATCTTTTATTTAAATAAGAATGTATGCAAATATTTTCGTAATAAAAATGCATGCTACAAAATATTCGATAATTTTAATTTTGTTTAAGGACAATTAAAATAAATAAGTTTGGAATTATGTTCTAATAGGATTATTTATATATTTTTATAGTATTAACCATAAATTTATTAGGAAAATGTGCACAGTAGGAATTTGCAATTTATGAATTCATTAGAATTTTTAAGATCAGTACAATATAAAAAATAATTAACGCTACTTCTTAACACTAGTTTGCCCAAGAAAGTCATTGTGACTACTTTTTAATTTCTATTAGAAAAACAATGATGCATATAATGATACAATTTCTTAGAACTTTGTGCATAACATATTATTTTTTATTGTTAATATTTACTAATAACTTGTTATATAATAGAAAAAATAATACAAATAATATTAAAAAAATTAAAAATTTATTTTAAACATATTTCTTAACACATTAGTTATTCTTTCAAAATCCAGTCATTTTTACCGCTTTTGGGCAATATAGGTGTATACTAAGTTTCAGTCTTTTTAAGTACGATAAAGCAAGAAAAAAATATTGGGTATAGCTTATAAGAATCGAGGAGATGTAGTCACATGTAAGTTTCCGGTTAATTATGTTAATTTTATGTAGAGTTTATTTTAGAATATATTTCAAGGCTTTTATGTTTTAAGGAAAGAGAAAAAACAGTGGTTATTTTAATTTGTTATTTTATTTTAAACTCAGTGGTATGTTATTACTTTAATTTGAAAGTCATCTACCTTTCATCTCTTTATTCATACATTTCATAAAAAGCATTTAAACATTTCATTCATTCTTTCTCAATGTTTTAAATTATTTTATTTGTTACTTTTTTGTCTCAGGATTCATTAAGTCAGTTAAAAAAAGATCAATACTGTTCAATACTTTTTTCTTAAAAAAAAGTTTTACGAGGGTTGCTATTTATATTTCTGGCCTAATAATGAAAAAACAAATATGTAGGATCGAAATTGGTTTTATTGTTTTTCAAAATATTCTCCATGATGATCAATACACTTTTGCATGCGTTTGAACCAATTTTCAAAGCACTTTTTCCAGTCCGATTGAGGTAACTCCAAAACATGCGTTTTGAATGCATCAACCGCTTCTTCGGGGGTCGAAAATCGTTGTCCACGTAATTTATTTTTGATGTGTGGG